TTTATTTTTGAGGCAGAGTTCCACTCTTGTTGCCCAGGCTGGAGTGCAATGGTACGATCTCGACTCACCACAACCTCTGCCTCCCGGGTTTAAGCGATTCTCATGCCTCAGCCTCCTGAGTATCTGGGACTACAGACATGTGCCACCACACCCACGTAATTTTGTATTTTTAGTAGAGACGGGGTTTTTTCATGTTGGTCAGGCTGGTCTCGAACTCCCAACCTCAGGTGATCCACCTGCCTCGGCCTCCGAAAGTGCTGGGATTACAGGCATGAGCCATTGCACCCGGCCGTGTCCTTTGTATTCACTGCAAATGCCACCCAGTTTCAGCTTGCTGAGCTTTCAAGTGAGTACTTGTTATTTTGAAGTTCTGAGAACCATCAGATGTGCCATTGTTTCCACTAGAACAGACGGTGATACCATGCAGGTCTTGTGGCTGTTGGTGGTTTATCTGTTGTTTGGGGGTTTCTGGAGATATCTTGTTTTGCTGCAAGTTGTCCAAGGTTTCCAAGTTTCCTATCATGACTGCTTCGTGAGCTTTAATGGATAACTTAAGAAACAGTAAAAACTATGATTTCGGAATCCCTGCCACGTTAACTTTTCAATGCAGGGGCAGGTAAAAGTTACAAAGACACCATCTCCTTCAATGACTATGCTTTTCTCCAAACTGTTTCCTTCATCTATCTTTAGAACACAGCATTTTAAGAACCTTTGGCAGGTCGGGTGTGGTGGCTCATGCCTGTCGTCCCAGCACTTTAGGCCGGGGCAGGAGGATCGTTTGAGCCCTGGAGTTTGAGAGCAGCCTGGGCAATATGGCAAGACCCTATCTCTAAAAAAAAAATAATTAGCTGGGTGTGGTGGTGCAGGATAATTGCTTGAACTCAAGAGGGTTCAAGCAATGCAGTGAGCTATGATTGTGCCACTGCATTCCTGGATGACAGACTGAGACCTCTTTTTTTTTTTTTTTTTTTTTGAGACGGAGTTTCACTCTTGTTACCCAGGCTGGAGTGCAACGGCGCAATCTCGGCTCGGCGCAATCTCCGCCTCCTGGGTTCAGGCAATTCTCCTGCCTCAGCCTCCTGAGTAGCTGGGATTACAGGCACGCACCACCATGCCCAGCTAATGTTTTTTTTGTATTTTTAGTAGAGTCAGGGTTTCACCATGTTGACCAGGATGGTCTCGATCTCTTGACCTCGTGATCCACCCACCTCGGCCTCCCAAAGTGCTGGGATTACAGGCTTGAGCCACCGCGCCCGGCCTGAGCCCTCTTTTTTTAAGACCGAGTTTCGCTCGTTGCCCAGGCTGGGTGCAATGGCCTGTGATCCACCTGTCTCAGCCTCCCAAAGTGCTGGGATTACAGGCATGAGCCACTGTGCCTGGCGAGACCCTGTCTCTTCAAAGAAAAAAGAATGACTCTCTCTCTGAGCCTCACAGCAGATTACGGAGGTTGTGATCAGTGCAGTTTAAAAGCAAAGGGCCTCCTCTGTTTGTACAACTGCATTTTTTTTTTCCTTCAGGGTAACCTCTGCTAAACAGAGAACCCTACACTTTCAAACAGATGGCTGGGGGCCAAAAGGGCCAGACTGCTGTTTTTCAGATAGTAAAGGGTATCACACTTTTTCAGCTAGGTAAGTGGTTTCTGGTCATAGCGTCACGACATCTCTAGCTGTTTCTGTTTCCTGGGTTAACTGCAAAATTTCCAAAACTGTTTGTTTGGGTCTGCCACTTAAAAGAGAGGAATCTTAAGTTGTATCTTCTGAACTTATACCCACATTACACATTGTTGCTACATGTGAATGACGTAGCTGATGACATAAGTGGAAGAATCCAGGAAAGTGTAAAGTGATATAGAAGGTGCCACTGTTGCACTGGCTTCTTTAATCTTGTCTAGCTTCTATTTACACCAAGTTTGTCTAACCCATAGGCCACGGGCTACAGGCAGCCCAGGATGGCTTTGAATGCAGCCCAACACAATCATAAACTTTCTTAAAACATTATAAGATTTTTTTTTTTTTGGCTCATTAGCTACAGTGTTAGTGCTTTTTATGTGCTGCCCAAAACAATATTTCTTCCAATGTGGCCCAGGGAAGCCAAAAAAATTGGACACCTCTGAATTACACCATATCAAAAGCAAAGTACCTGGCAATACAGTAGGTACTTGAAAAGAATAGCAAATAGGTTAACTCTGAATGGGCAGTTGACGGTCTTACCTTGATATTCTCAGCATTTCAGATGTAGCCTACCACACAGGTGTTCAGCAAATGGTCATGAAACAGAACCTTCCAATTCTGGCAGAAATAAGTTAGTTTTTTTTGGGGGGGACGGAGTCTCACTCTGTAGCCGAGGTTGGAGTGCAATGGTGCGATCTTGGCTCACTGTAACCTCTGTCTCCTGGGTCCAAGCGATTCTCCTGCCTCAGCCTCCCAAGTAGCTGGAATTAGGAACGTACCACCATGCCCAGCTAATTTTTGTGTTTTTAGTAGATAAGGTGTTTAGTTTTATTCATTATCAGAAGCCCTATGGTATAGCTGAAACACTATACTAGGTCTCGATTTCTCATCTTTAACTTCTGCCATTTGGCTTGCTTTCTTCACAGAATTATGAGTCCAAGTAAGACACTGTATATGGAAACGCTTTTTAAAGACCATGCATACTATTCTCTTCCTACCCCAGGTAGAATTAGGTTGTGGTTGGTGGCAGGTTACCTAGGTATTCCTAGGGCATTTTGGAGGGAGTCTTCTAAGAAACAAGTGGTTTTGTCATCTTTCCAATTACTTTCTAACCTCCTTAAACTAATAAATAGCATCTTCATCTTTGAATCCTTTATGTGCTTTGTAAAATGTAGTCTACCTTAGTTACCTGGTAAATATTTGTCAAACAAATGTTACAACACAATAATGCCAATTCAATCCATTGGCAAGTTCTGCTGTGTACTTGCAAAACATATCCTGATTCCAATTACTTCTTATCCCCATCATTATTGTCTTAATAGACGCCACTATTGCATCATTGCTTGTCTAAACAACTGCTCTACCTTCCAAACCAGTTTCTCAGCTCCTATTCATCTCTTCACCAACAGGATCAAAACAGAGCAATTTAAAAAAACAACCAAATATAAATTAGACCTATGTCATTTCTCTTCTTCAAATCCTGCAATGACTCCTCCACTGTACTTAATGAATGCAGATTATTTATACCTACAAGGTTCTACATTAGAGACCAGCAAACTACAGCCTACAAACCAAATCCAACTTGCCCCTTGTTTTCTGTAAATAAAGTTTTATTGTAACATAGCCACATACTGTCTATGCCTCCTTTTGCACTGCAATGGAAGAGCTGAATATTTTATTTTTTTGAGACAGAGTCTTGCTCTATCGCTCAGGCTGCAGTGCAGTGGTATGATCTTGGTTCACTACAACCTCCGCCTCCCAGGTTCACGTGATTCTCCTGCCTCAGCCTCCTGAGTAGCTGGGATTACAAGCATGCATTATCATGCCTGGTTAATTTTTATATTTTTAGTAGAGATAGGGTTTTGCCATGTTGGTCATACTGGTCTAGAACTCCTGACCTCAAGTGATCCGCCTGCCTTGGCCTCCCAAAGTGCTGGGATTACAGGCATGATTCACGCCCAGCCAAAGAGCTGAATAATTATAACAGAGACCACATAGCTTGCAAAGTCTAAATATTTACTATCTGGCCTTTTGTAGAAAGTTTGCCGACCCTTGCTCTACATGATCTGACCCCTATTCTCCCTCTTAATGGATCTTTTATCCCCTTTCTCAACCCCACCCATTCACTACATCTTAACCAAGCTTTCTCTGCCACAGAGTCTGCAATGCCCAGGAATGAACTTCATTCACATCGTCCCAGGACTGCCTCCTTGTCACTGAGGTATCAGTTTAAATGTCAACTCCTCAGAGACTTTTCTTGACCAACCAATCTAGAGTGGCTCCTTCAACTGCCTTAGTCACGTATCTCCTAGGAAACAATTAACATGGCAATGACTATTTAAAATTATGTTACCAGTTTAGGTCTCTCTTCCACTAGAATTTGAACTCCATGAGAGAAGAGACCATACTTTAACCACCCCAGCCAGCACTCTAATCACAAGTCTAGCACCAAAAACAGTGCCTTTTTGAATGAAAGAGAAAGACCAACAAATAGTTGCTGAATTAATGAGGCCAAGGTCAGGAACACTACTCAAGTTCAAGGCAGTTTGTAATGCTCACTTGCACTGTTGCAGGTTTGCCTTCACACTGTCCTGACTGCAATCGTAAAAAGCAAAGTAGATCAGACAGTATTCCTGGCCCCATTATGATGGGCAAAACAACTCCACCAAGGGCACATTCTCCTCAGGTAAAAATGGCATTAGGAAAAGCAGGCAAGGCAGGGCCACAAAATTGGACAAAGAAGTTCTCAAGTTTATGATTATTATGGTTAAGAATTTTATTATCAAAATTATTACATCTCTTGTGAAAGTTCAAATGTTACAGCAAGGTGTAAACACTCCACTTGAGAAAGAAGTGATACTTCTTTCCTTCCAAGAGTTCCCCCCACCCCCCCTCCCCAACCCCCCCAAGAGGTCTGGTCTTGACAGCACCCTGCCCACACAGAGTGGCTGGGGTCTCTGCACGTGCCAGGCAGGGTGAGGGCCGCCTGCCCGCTGGCCTCTCCCCTCGGTTAATAGCCAAGGGGAGAATGCAAACCCCAGCCCAAATGGAGAGACATTTACATACGTTTTATATAATATACAAAGAAACCAGCATCCCAGGCAACATGATTTCCACTCCCAATGCTCTCCCAGACTGATGGGTTTGTGGGGGAAACAACTAAAAGAAAAGTACTCTGCTGAGGTCTCAGCATTAAAAAAAAAAAAAAAAAAAAAAAAAAAAAAAAAAAAAAAAAAAAAAAAAAAAAAAAAAAAAAAAAAAAAAAATCTCCCCTCATTTGAGCAAACACCTGATTCGATTTTGAAAAGTGAAATTTTGTAACAGTCACACACAAAGAGAGAAGACTGTGCATATGAGAGTTGTAGGACAGGGTAGAAAAGGGGATGCGAGAGGCTGGGGGAAAAAAGGAAGAGAAAACAAATTAGAGGGAAGGAAGGAGGGAAACTCACAGTATTATCTTGTCCAAAAGAAAAGAAGGTCCACTGCAGCACCAGGGATTACACCTGTCATATATTCACTACCCCTACCATGGTTATAACTGAATACAAAATTAGATAAATAAAAACACGCCAGATATTACAGTAAACAAGTGAAAGAAATAAGCTGGCAACCATATGGAATTTAAAAAGATTGTGTACCCCACCTGGGCTGGCTCCAGGGCTCCTCCAGGGGTGTACAACAGGCACAATGCACTGATGGGGAGAAGCCGGTCTGCTCTCGTCTCTCATCCAGAACAGTGTTAGAGGTGTGGGTGGCTTGGTAACTCTTTCACTGGGCCCACTCACATAAGCATCCCCCAAAGAAATGTGGCGCAGGCCCACACACAATCACAGTCCTGTCGGTGCCACTCCACAAACCTATCTTCCCACTCTTACCCTGCAGTCACAAGTGCATACTCCCCAATCATGGAGGCGGTCCTGCTCATCGGATCATCAACTCCTGATTAATTGGGAGTAGAAAAAATAAAATTCAAAGCATTCCCAAACCACTTGGTATCCTTCCTAATCAAATTCATTGCCAAAAGCTGGTAAGTAGCAATGCAATTGGCCTATACCACGTCTCATTCCTCTTTTCCTTGTCTACTTACTTCATGGGTTACTGAGCTGTGAAATAGCTTGGGAAGGAGGAGTAGTATGGAGGCTCAGATAATCTGCTCCAGAATAATCAAGAGCTGACCATGAGCTTTTCTTCAAAGAGCCAGGCACCTTCCAGTTGGTGCAGGTTCCAAGCTTTACTATCCCTGCCTATTTCTTGGTGATCTTAAGACAAAGATAGGCAGGATTCTTGGTGGACACACATTGGCCAGATACCTGCTTTTGGAATGGTTGTCTTAGAAAGAACATTTATATACCTACCTTTTTTCTTAAGTGCATGAAACCCTAATGGTATTCAGATGGCTTGGAGCTTTGAGACTGGCTCTTTTCACTTTTTTCCTTTGAAAACTTTTTTTTTTTTTTTAAATTTAAAAAGATGTCCTCACTGCACAAGTGACTACAGGCTACAGGCAAGGATGGGAGACGGAGGCTTCAACACAACTCATTGCACTTAGAACCGTTACTAACCGAAACACCATTTGCTTGTCAACAATGTACCCTTGACAGCAGGGAGAAACTTCTTTATAGTCTCTGCTTCAGACAAGATTTACATCTTTCTCCAAGGCCAGAGGCCAATTGTGACCACGAGTCTTGTTTCTTGTCCACCAGACCCAATCCTCTGGCACCTTGTACCCCCCCTTCCCCAGCAATATGCTCGGCCTAGGTTCCAGAGGCAGCTGGAAGGAAGCAGCTATGGGCTCATTCAGTTCAGTTTGCCCAAATCCAGAAGCCCTAGGAAAGTCCTGTCTGAGTCTTGACTCCTGACCCTTGCAGTGGCTGGAGTCGGTACTGGTGCACACCCCCACTCCCACGGTGTGGGTAGTGCTGTGAATTGGAAACCGCAGATACCCTGGAGGCCTGGTAGACAGCTGACTGCCCAGCACTGGGCAGACTGATAGTCCGTAAGTCTGATGGCAATGACGACCTAGAGTTCTGAGGAAAGGAGGTGGAACTCAGAGTTCCTGTGCTGGACTGAGAAACCGAGTCTGAGGTTGGTGAGTCTGAGGGTCCCTGCAGGGTAGGGCTAGCAGCACTAGAAGGGCAGCTCCTCCTTGGAAGATTGCTGCCAGTGCTGTTTCCAGAATGTGGCTGGCTGCTAAAATACCCTGGTGTCCCTGTAAATGGGGCCAACGAGTCTGTGGACACAGGGTGGGCGGGGCTGGAATAGGATGTGGAAGAGAGGGATGATTCTGAAGAACTGTGAGAGGGGGGGTTTCCAGGTCTCAGTGCAGTAGTTCGATAACTGTATCCTGGAGATTGTGTAGGATGTCCTCTGAAGGGGGAGGAACTCTGCTGAAGGAGGCTTTGTGATTCTGTCCGGGGACTATCACACTGCAGGAGCTAGACAAAGTTGGGAGGAAAAGAATAAGGAGGTGAAGAAGTCCCTTAAATGGCTGGTGAACATTAGTAATACCCTATTTTTTTTTTTTTTTTTTCATCTTTTAACGATGTATTCTTTTTAGGAAACCAAAGGCAGTAAAATGGCTGTCTTTGATCACCCTACTCATGTTCTGGCATAATTTATTACCTGAGGGTAAGCAGATGACTTATTTCCAGGGCTGCTGAAACTGTATGCAAAGACAGCATCTCAATGGCAAAGGATGACCAGGACAAACAATTTGGAACCCAGAACACACTCATATGTCTAGAGATCAGCAATTTCTCATCTCACCTGGTAGCTGTATCTGGAAGGGCTGTAAACGGTGGCTCCTTTAGAGAGTGCTGAGCTCAGTGTCTCTGGGCCTTCTCCATCTGCAGGATCTGGAAGGTTATACATATATATATATATATATATATTAAATCAACTTGGCTTCTTACAATAAGTAAGAAATAGCCATTATTCATTCAAATCACCAATGCCATCACCAACCCATGCTGCTCTCTTTGTGACAAATCAGGTGAGTGCAGCATGCCAGAAGGGCAAAAGGAGTGGTTAATTATGGGCTATGTTCTAAATGCCTGATCTGATTCTCGTCTCCTTCTTTTTCTTCATCCTTCATCGAGGTGAATTTCCAGGACTTTGGAGAGATGAAAGTTACAGAAAGGTATCCCTTGGGGAAAAAAGAGCAGACAGAGAGCAAGCGATGCTAGATCTTACAAATGTAACCCAAAAGAGCCCAAGTGGGCTGGAACCTAGCATACAGCAGAGTCTAACTGCATCAGAAACTAACTCACCTCAACTCAGCACTTGGCATTAACTGTACAGAGCTTGGCTCATGCGTCCCTGAATGTGGTTGGCAGCAGAAGGCCAAGGGCTCACCTGAGTCTTTCTCTGTGATGTTACTTTCCCACGTGGGAGAGGGCTCTCCCTTTTGGGCCACCCTCACACTGCTTCGGAGGACCTTGGGGATGCTCCCTCCTTCTCGGAGTCGTTCTACTGATGTGGGAACCATCCTGTAAAGGCAACAGGGTGCAAGTTCAAGCCACAGGACTTACCTGAAACAAATGAAGCCCTAACTAAGGTGCACAATCTATTTCCTTAAAACATCCTCTTAAACATTACTTCCTTCAGAACCAATTTAGAACAAGGTATTTCCTGTGCCCCACAGGCACAAAAGAGAAACAACAACAGCCACTTAAAAAAAAAATAAATTGGTCGGGCGCAGTGGCTCACGCCTGTAATCCCAGTACTTTGGGAGGCCGAGGCGGGTGGATCACGAGGTCAAGAGATCGAGACCATCCTGGTCAACATGGTGAAACCCCGTCTCTACTAAAAATACAAAAAATCAGCTGGGCATGGTGGCACATGCCTGTAATCCCAGCTACTCAGGAGGCTGAGGCAGGAGAATTGCCTGAACCCAGGACGTGGAGGTTGCGGTGAGCCGAGATTGCGCCATTGCACTCCAGCCTGGGTAACGAGTGAAACTCCGTCTCAAAAAAAAAAAATAAATAAAAATAAAAATAAAAAATAAATAAATAAATAAAGGAAAAAATGGATTAAAGATGTCAACTTCCCTTAACTGCCATTTAAAAATGTTAAAAAATTCTCCTCTGGGAAATCATGTGCCTGATACATAGTAGTGGTTTTAATAAATGTTTCATAGATTAATAAATATTAAACATTTGAGCCAGAATCCTCCTTTCCCAGTCTTACTTTTTTCAGTTCAAGATCCCTGAACTCCTATTCTCTATTTCACTCACTTGATCCTCAGTACTTGCCATCAGTATTATTCATTTTTAAATTCATGGTCTCCCCTAAAACAGACAAGTACTTTCAGAATGTCTTTTTGCTCTGTGTACACTAGCTGTGTGGAAGAGAGACATCTGCTGTTAATTCACGTGGAACCTGGCTGGATTCTTAACTCACCTTTCATGTGAAATGAGAAATAGAAGAGGCAGTGTTAGTGCCCACCAAATAAAAGAGCTCATCTGCATCCATAACTACATGTCATCCAAAGCGCTGCTCCACAGGCATGTTGGTAATTCTTAATTCTGCAAAGCTGGGGGATTGCAGCTGACACCATTAAATCAGCTGAACAGGACAGATGGCACTGTCGGCTGGCTGTCTCAGATGTTCCCATCAAGTGTTCCCATAGATTCTAGGTAAAACTGGGAATGATCCTAGTTTTATACTCCCCCAACACCCAATTTAACTATAAAACATCAAATATAAACTTACCACCTACTGCTGATATTCTCTGCAGGTCTGCAGTGAGATGAAGAAGTGCCTCTGGAATCTGATGGGCTTACCGCCTCCAAATGGGACATAGAGGAATGAGATGGGGAGAATTTTTTGTGAGGGGAAGATGGGGTTCGGGATGAGGATCCCTGCACACCATGGGCACCAGTGTCAGAAACAGAGTTACTGCTGCCTTGTCCAGCTCCTGCAGACTTGCTTTTGCTCTGTGCAGAGTCACCTCCCCCACCAGCAGAATTTTCCTTAGCTTCTTGTTTCCGTTTTCGGTATTCCAGCAAGGATACCTAGAAAGGAAAAAAGAAATGGTACTCTAGCTGGATATCATTAGTGGATCACTAGCAAAGAGGAAAGATGGAACAGTAGTAAACCACTAACCAAGTCACGCAAACAAAGCAAACACCGATCCTGACAACTTTTTTTTCAGATGTGAAAGAGATCTGAGCATGGCTACATATTTAAGACAGTCAGAAACTAATAAGAGGAAGAGAATAAACTAGGAGGCAAGTTTTTGAAGAATGATGTTTGGCAATTAGATCATCACCTTTTTTCTGTCTTCAGGAAAACCTGTGAGGTTACCATAACACAGTAACAAAAGCGTGCTATCATAGTTATTTGGAACAATGGGAGTACCCAGAGAAGGGAGAATTGGAAGCTTATGTAGTTTGAAAAGCCTCCCAGGTGATTCTGATGGTTGTTCTGTACTCCTTGGGAATCCCTAGAGTTAGCTGAGAGAGAGAGAAAGGAGGAGGGAAAAGGGGAGAGAGAGGTAGAGAGAGAGAAGAAAACAAGAAACAAACAAAAGAAAAAGCCAATGCTCCAGGGTACTTAGATATGATCAATTTTTCAAGACATAAATAGAAATTTATTATTGTTTCTATCTTACACATAGATGTAATTAATGTAGAAAGAGAGGAAATTATTTCTAGTTTATACTTTTTTTTTTTTTTAAATTTTGTTTTAAAAGATGGGGGTTTCTTCATGTTGGTCAGGCTGGTCTTGAACTCCCGACCTTAGGTGATCCGCCCACCTCGGCTTCCCAAAGTGCTGAGATTACAGGCGTGAGCCACCACGCCCAGCTTCTAGCTTATACTTTTAGCAAGCTAGCTCTAGAAGAGTACTTGATAACTCTCCCCCAACCTCCCCTTCATCTCCCTAATACTTACTCATTCTTTCCTGGCAGCAGATCTCCCACCCTCACCTGACCCTGCCCACCACAATCTCTGCCCTGCCTGGAATACCATTTCTTTGCTGTTCTGGCACACTGGTTACACAGTCTGTAGAACCTATTACAGTGTCTTGATTGTTCCCTGACTAAACTATAAGTTCTAGGAGGGCAAAGGTTAAGTTATTTGGCTTTTTATCTTTAACACTCAGCACAGAATTTGGCATAGGCTTAAATTTATGCTTAAAGGGGCCCAAAGTGTTTCTGAAATAACACATCATGATTTCTTTTTTTTTTTTTTTTT